GCTGCTTCCGTTCGCTGCTTGCTTGTGCCTGCGTGTGTCTTAGGGAGATAGATAGATAGATAGATAGATAGATTGATAGATAGATATTCGCTGAGTGCGAGCGTGCAGGTGGGGGAGGACTGTGGTTGCCCCTTAGCCTGTGGTTGCGTGTTTGTAAGTCTACAGCCAGCGCACCTAGCGGAAGTGAACTGAAACGTGCATGTTCACAAACCCACAAACCCACAAACACACAAACACACAAACCAACACTAAAACACACGCCGGTGAAAACATAACCTCCGCCAAGCCCCTGGCGGAGGTAACAATAATAACCATAATTACATTTATCATAAAATTTCTTTGCATACTTCCGACGTTTTTTAATATTTATATATTGATTTTTCTTCTTGCTATTTGCTTTTCATTTGAAATCCTTACCGCCGTATGACGCTTGTAATATTCACCGCCTTGTAATAAATAAGTTCAGCCATTGGGACGATCATTTTTCATATCAAACTACTCCGGATTATGTTTCCTTTAAGTACAATTTTAATAAAAACCATATGTGTATATACTTATGGTATGGTCATCTTTCAATGAATTTCAAATAAATATGAGGCGATGGGATGACGTATTTGTTAATGTTTAATTACCCCGAAAGATAAAATAGACGATCGACTAATAACATTGAATTATCTGGGGCCAGAATTATTACATTATTACAGTTATTACATTATTGCAAGTGTTGTGTTAGCGTGCATGTGTATCTTATATTATGCGTTCATTAACATGATTTTTATATCGATTACCGTTGTTTTGTGTGTTTTATATACGTTGGAACGACTAAAAAACCGCGTAAAACCGGCCAAAAAACAAACGGACTAAAGACACCACGCTAATAATCTGTGAAGTTACCAGCAGCTATTAATTTTAGGTTCATTTTGTGGATTTTTTATCCGTGTATGCCTGCATGAACTTCCAGTAAACATGGGTTTATGTGATTGAATATATGCGAATGTTTTTGCGTACAGAAAAATAGAATACAACATCGACTAACGTTGAATTATCTAGAGACGGATTCTTGCATGTAATTATTGTACTAGCGTGCGCTTACGCGTATCTATAGTATGTGTCTATAAACATTATTATTGGGCATCTATTGGAGCCGCTGTGTCGTGTGTGTGTGCTGTGTGTGCTGTCGTGTGTGTGTGTGTTGGTGCTGTGTGTGTCGTTGGTGTGTGTGTACGCTGTGTGTGCGCGTGCGTGCGTATCGTGCGTGTGTGTGTGGTTTTGTGTGCTGGCGTGTGCGTGTGCTGTCGTGCGTGCGTGCGTGCCGTGGCGTGGCGCTGCGTCGGCGTGCGTGCGTGCGTGTGGTGTGTGTATACAGTGTGTGGTGTTGTGTGTGTGTGTGTGTGTGTTGTGTGTGTGTGTGTGCGTGATGTGTGTGTGTGTGTGTGTGTGTGTGTGTGTGTGTGTGTGTGTGTGTGTGTGTGTGTGTGTGCGTATGTGTGTGTGTGTGTGTAGCGTAGATATTTTTAGTGTTCTTCTTCTTCTTCATGATCTGTATATTTTCTATAATAAGAAAAAAAACTAGAATGGATGCGATGTGCATGCTAAGAAAGTAGCATTTAATTGCAATGCGATTGTAATTCATAAGAATACCCGGCGACTCAAAACGAAGTGAAGCATATAGAATATTGCATATAGCATATAGCATATAGAATATGCTCTACTTCTTTTGCTAAAAATAAAAGCTAGTGAGGAAATAATACATTTGCACAGAATTTGCCACATGAAAATTAAGTCACTGTAACTGTCTATCCCATCACTCTCTCTAAATGTAAGGCGTCGCCTTTACACAACGAGTACATTTGTCAAAAAATTATAATTTTAAGACAAGACGAATCCGGAAAATTTAATTTAGTCGATTATTGTTATTTTTGAATGCTCTCCATGAAATCCCGAGTCTTTGTTTACTTCGACCGAAGTGACAAAATATAGGGTTAGGTACAGGGCTACAGGTACAGGTCCAGGTGACGATGGCGTACTTGTACGTGCCGACGCAGGGATCACCGCCAAGGCCATCGTTAGTGGCAGCGATCGTGCAGCACTCCTGGCCGTTGCAGTGGGCGACGTAACTGATGACATTGTTGAACTGAACGCAGTCAGCTGTATCTGTATTGGTTCCAGGACAGAGACCGGCCGAACCCGGCTGCCGGCCGTACGCCATGGACGAAATTTGGATCCGGGTGTCGTCGGGGCAGCAAATGTTGCTGGGGCAGCAAATGTTGACGGAAGAATCTTCACAGATTGCCTGCCGGTAGGTCTGTATTTCTCTCCGTGCCGATGTGACCTGCGTAGACGAGTGTATCCCAAGCCGTTGAAACGGGATTGTTAATCTAGCTGCATGGGGGCGGCTCTCATCAAAGTCTCACAAAAGTTTATCCTTAAGTCAATGCACACTATCAATACCCTACTCACTCTCCCTTAATAATCCGTATAAACCGTATAACTCTATAACCGTGTTTACTGTAGTATGAATCCCCGTACGAACTTGTCATATTCCTTCATATGTATAGCTAGTGTGAGGAAAAAATATTGCAATGCCATTATACGTTTTGAGTAAACCGCCAAACTTCCACAAAACTTCTGAGATGGGCGAACATTTACCTAACATCTATGTGCTTTCCGATGCGTCGCATCACATCAAACGCGCAAACATATAGCATAATATTAAAATAGAAAATACAGAATGATTGGATTTGCAGATAAATATAGATTATATATATACTCACACAGAGTAGTGCCAGCAGGATGCAACCTACGATGATTGAGCTCGCCATCTAAACGTACATAATACGCCATTGCTATCAATACATAATATAATGTAGTCATCTATATCTTACGTATCAGAGACTAATAACAACATTAATAGTTAAGCTGAATTTTAAGGCCAGTGTAAGTGTAATGAATGTAACAGAATTCGCGATCATCTCCATGCGGACACAAGATGGGGTTTCTCTAGTGTAAAGATGTCATCAGTTATCGATCAGTTATCAATCACAATCTATCGCAATTCTTGGGAATATTCTGTCAACTATGTCAATGATATAATATAATATATGATAGTAATAATATACTCACAAAAATCGGTTGTACAACAAACGACGGTTATGATCGGGTAAATATAGTCGATAATTCTTTGTTGTTTTCCTGCGTTGCTCACTGCACACTAGTCCCCTGTGACTGCTGGACGCTGGTAGTAGCTGTGGGATAGTCACGTTCCCGTTTAAACCTCATTTATTTGTTTACGAATTTCAGAAATACGTTGCGTTATTAATCATCTTTATCCCAACATGTTCCGGAAGAGTACGAAGATAAGGAAATCAGCCTCGCCTCCATATCCTGCATAATATATATATATATATGCAACGAATTTACGTCTAGTTGTGACGACGAATGAAGGTTCGACCACTGGATTGTAGTGTAGTCTACACAAGAAATAGCAACACGTAAAACCAGAACAAGCTGATAAAAGTGTTCACGCCGGGCCCAGGGCTTTTATGCGGCTTTAGTCAAAAGACCAAGGTGAACTAAGAGATGGTGCACAAAATCCCACACAGCGTTGTCGCTGGGGTGCAGAAATATACACAATGAATTGAACAGCCAAACAGTACTAGATAACACCCTGTAGTGAGTTGCTTGCCCTGTGCAGGGGTTAACTACATACTATATGCTTACGTGATCCGTGAATATGAGGCGCTCCTGATTGTGGCCGCAATGCTGGCTTGCTCCGTCTCGGCCGCTCCAGATCGTATACTGCCTAATTACTGAGAGCAGAACCCCGTATCTATACCGCGCGGTAATGGCACGGCCATAATTGTGCGAAAACTGGGTTGCGAACGAGGCTCACCTTCTATCATGCACATATATCATTGCCTGCACTGCCACTTATTACGTGATAAATTGACGAATACCATCGCTGCACAATTGCCTAGAAGTACACGTGCTACAAACGTAAGCGAGGGCGCACTAGAGCAGATAAGGTCTATTTCCCCCTGACCTCTGTTTGACCTGGCTCGTTTAGCTATTTCTGACTAAAATATATGTAGACACCGTCGATTTCTGATGTTAATCACTGATTTTAGATCAACGATACGGTCCCACCCACTAACCAGGAGGCTGAAAATTGTGGAAATATACGCAAAAGTAAACAGAAGAAGGCTACACGACGAATCCCGCGCCAACCCGAGCAAGGTATGGTATGCTACGCGATATACAGAGTGAGTTTCAAATACCGCTAGGGGGCAATGCAGATCGAGATTCATTTAACAATGCTTGACGTTAAGGGAACCAGTAATATTTGCAGCCGCGCTTGAAGACGAAGCCTACGTGACTGCGGCGGAGACAGACGGAGAGGCGATCGGTGCGCTCGTACTCGGACATTCGCTGCGGCATGCTCAGGTCACCCGCAGACTCGCCTGCATGGTTACCAACAAAGTCTCTATGGAATTCAGGTGAGAAAAGGACCAATAACATGCGGTCCCTCATTCTCCCTAATCGGCACGCGTTTATTACGGGTAAAACAAAACGTCCAATCATCATAACCTCTGGTGCGTCTACTATAAGCTGGACGTAATCAAGTAACGGAATGCGTGTATGATGACATTGAATGTGGGTGTGTGCGCATGCGCAGAGACCTGCTGTCGGAGCTGTACAACGACATGATACCAATTAACGGCCTAGAGCGGATCGACGCCATGCGGATGTCCGTCATGGACGAGTCCCTAGCAGCACTTGCCACTTGGCAGTATTGCCGCCAATACTCTAAATGTGTGTTCCTTGCGCCTGACACGCTGGTACGTCTCTCTCATTCAACCTCTATCTTTCCTCTCGCTCCCAACGCGCGCTTTTAAGGCTTAGCGAGCACGTTTTCCTGAACACGATCTACACTGTTACCTGTGTCACAAAATAATGTGTAGATTACCTGGATGAAGATGCGACAATTCCTTATCTCGCAGGTGCACCACAACATCGACCATCTGTTCGGCGAACTTCAACTCTCCGCTGTGGCCTACCATCGCCGGCCCAAGACGTTCCACAGCAGCGTCATGGTCGTAGAACCGACGGCTGCTCATAACACGTTTAAAAAGTTACAGAAATTGGCCCGAAATTGCGAGGATTCGTTCGACTTTAGCAGTAAGTGACTAATTCTACGTGGAAAGAGCGATAGCGGAATCAGAACGCAAGCTCGAACCGCGGCAAATTCTATAGTGTCTCGTCTACCGGCAATAAGTTACTTTACTTCTTGACTATATGAAGTGCCAACGAGAACCAATATGCTCGATGTTTGCTATAGCCTACCGTCAGTATGTTAAGTGACTCTGTAGCTATAGGAAGGAGTAACGTTGTGCCATCCACCTTTACATGCTGAACACTGCACTGCACGCACACACTACTAACACGGCGTGTATTTAGGTAGAGTTGTTGTTATTAGGATCTGATATTTCTGTGTGTTAAGACGTGTTGCGTCGTGTTCAGGTTGTGCCGACCAAATCCTCAATCGTCACTTTAAGAGATGGCACAAGCTGCCACAGACCTACTGCTCCGAGGTCAGCAGTTCGTTTACCTACGTTCCTGAAGGAGGAGAGTAAGTCAGTTTCTGCCATTATTGTCACGAGCATGTTAATGGCTTTTAATACTACGAGATTGATATTTAGAATTAGTGGGGTACCCGGCGTTGCCCGGGTTTGTTTCTACGTGTCTAACGGTATGTTCGGGTATTTTGGCGTACGTAATCGTTTGCTGATTAAAAAAACCGCATGTCGCATATGAAGATTTGGCGTCGTGTGTATTGTACTTATGGCTTTAATCGGGAAGAAATTTCCTAGCCAATGGCACGCATACAGACCTAAACATCTGTGACTTGGATTGTTATAGGATTGCATGATTAACTTGAATATCTGCATGAATTTCAGCGCTAACACGCTTTCACCAGAAATACGGGTCTCGTGGTTTTCTGGAAACACGTGGAAGCCGTGGATGCTAGCAGTTTGCGAAAAGGAACGGAAGGTCAGTATAGTTGTTACTTACTACTTTAAGAGGCTAAAGAAATATTAGATTAGATTAAAGAACGTAACCGTCGTTGTTTTCATCGGCGTCACCATCATCGTCACTACCACAACTATAGCTATAACCGCGACTGAGACCGCGAAGAGATATTAATGTTACGTAATTAAATACTTTCGTAGGTTTTATGCATGGGAGGTGGACAGGTTATCCCGCATCTTGAAAAGTGGGTTGCCATTTATGACAAGCAAGTCCTACCCTTTCTCACCCACAAAACCGTTATATTTCTGGTACGTACTATCCATGTAATATGCCTTCCTACCTGTTTAAAAATTGCTAAGACATAATTTGGATTAAGAATTATGAATGATGGCAGCAAAGTTAATCGTATTAATACCGTATTATAATGATTTATTATGCGTAATATATTATTTTCGTATTACAAAAATATGAATGAAATAATTGCGCCTGCCACTGTCGGCATCTCACTTACTTTACCTTTCTTACTTTAGAACGAAATCCCGAGGCCTTTACCAAAATGGAAAAAGACTGTCAGCGTAGTAGAAGAATGTTCCGTGGCAACTCTAGAGAAGATAGCGCTGGAGGAGGAGGTAACGCGGATGGTAAGTAAACCGAGGCTTGAAGATGTACGAACCTATAATAAACACGTTATGAGCGAGTTTAAACTATATTATTGTATAAATAAAACAGGCATCCTCACAAACGTGTCATTACATTGTATATCATTCTTCCTTGGTATTTGCCAGAAAAGTGGATTAAACGAGTCAGCTATGAATTAGAAAGTCAACAACTAATAAAGTAACTAACAATAAAACTTGCATAGCTTTTCGTAGTCGTTATTAAGTTTTACCTCTGTACGAATCCAACGCAGAGCTGTAATTTCCTCCAAAGTCGACCTTCCTGATAAGATATTTATGTAAGTTATTCATGTCCAGAATGCCACGTGCGAGGATAAGCATCCATCGAATCACAGGCGACCGTGGTCGCCCACTATAATGCCGATGATGTTCAGCGGGGATGATTACTATTGATTAGATGAAGCCAGCGATGAACGATGATGGACAGACCTCGGACTCAACATGAGACCTTAGAATGAATT